GAATTGCAGCAAAAAGAAAAAGTTTCCAGCGAAAATAACGATTCGGAAAGTTAAATAAGTAAATTTATATATTAAATATAAATAATTACTGTTTTTATTGTTGTTTTTACTATTGCTTTTATTACTATTTTGTTATTTTTCTTTTTATTATTATATTATTGCTATCTTTACCGTTATTTTTACTTTTTTTTTAATTATTTTTTACTTATAAATTTTTTTTGTTTTAATTGTTTTTATTATTAATTTTTTTACTTTAAATCCAAATTTATTTAACGTTATATATATAACATAACTTTTTAAAAAAAATTTCAAAAATATGTAGAAATTTATGTAAACTTATGCAAAAATTTATGCAAAAATTGACTTAAAGTAACTTACTAAGTCAATTGAGTAAGTCAATTTTTTTTTAAGTAAGTCATTAGTAAGTCATACCGGTGACTTTGACTAACTTACTTACAAAAGTCATGACTTTAACTTATAACTTTTAACTTAATTCCCAACCCTGAGGTTAACGCACTAAAAAACAAAAACTATTCCTTTAATTTACTTATATACTTTTCCCAATTCTTCTTGTAATTAAATTTCCTTTAACTTGTACGGAAGCAGCAAAAAAAAGGGAATGTTGAAATTAACAAGTTATATTTGGAGGCTGAACGCGGAAATCGTTTTGGTGGCCGTGGGTCGATTTTTTGCAATCCCCATACAAAATAATATTGCGGAAAATCGCGCGCGGCACCGCAACCCTTTAAAGGGGAAAACCTTCAAAATTAACGTCGGTGGGTATATAAGGAAAGGCACTAAGTTGGCACCCTTTCCCTGGAATAGCACCTATTTTTAACAACCAACGTGGGCTTGTTAGCATTATATTATAGTGCTTGACAGGCCCGACCCTTGTAAACGTAACCTTATAAATTGCTGTAATCGTGCTGCAAAGCCCCAACTTGAACCCTGTAATTTAACATTTACTTAGCGTTTTGTTATAAACCTGCTTAATTTTTTTTAATTTTATTTTTTTAATTTTTATTTTATTTGTTACGGTAAAGATTTTATTGTTAATAATAAATGCAATTGCTTTTTTAATTGCTATTATTTAAAGTTTTTTAAAAGTTATTTACGCCCCCGCGGTTATTTATACCCAAATTCTTTTTTTCCGCTGCTAAAGGTTGCAATTTGTTGCATTTGGGTTTTTTTTTTAAAAATCAATTTAATTTGTTTGAAAATTGGAAATCGTTTAGGTTATTTTAAGGTTAATCGTTAAAATTATTAAAATTGCAATTGTTTGGTTAGTTATTTTAACGTATTAAATAAATTTTGTAATAATTTTAACGGCCGTAATTTTTTTTATTAATTAATTAAAAGTATTTTTTTTATAAATTGCATTGTTGCAATAATTAATTAGGGGGTTTTCGTGCTTGCGGTAATTTTTATTTCGGTTGTTGCTAATTCGTAAAATTCCCGTTGCGTATTGCGTATTTCGATTGGTTTAAATTTGTTACCTTTTTTATTAGCGCCGCAACGGCTCGTTAAGGTATTATCGAACCCGTTTAGCTTTTAAGCAAATTGGCGTTTCCGGTTTTCGTAATGGCTTTAATTTTTTGTTTGGTTGTTGTTGTTGTTGCGCGCTGGCAAAAAACGTTTTTTTTTTTTGCAAGCTGTATTGGTTTTTTACCCCGCCGGTAATAAAACTTATAATTACTTTTTAAAATATAATTACCGGCTTTAATGAATTATAAGCATTTGAATAGCAAAATGCCGTTACTTTAACGGAAGCGGATAAGTACCCGCTTAATAAAAATACAAATAAACTTATTAATAAAAATAGTTGTTACTTTTAAGCTATTTGCAAAAGCTTAACTTTTGGCCTGCAAGTTAATAATGAAAAATTAATTAAATAACCGCTTATTAGCGGCAAATGCCAAACCCACCTTAAAATAATAACGCTTTTACAAAGTTATTTTTTTTTTTTGCGTTTTTTTAATTTTCTTTTTTAAAAATTATTATTCTATTTTTACTTTACCGTACCAGCGGGCATGGCAGCAATTAAAATTGGAATTAATTAAAGAAAAGCGAAACAAAGCAGGACAACGAGGGAAAGAGGTAAGCTGGAGGACGTGCAGCGGATTAAAAGCGATGCGGGAAAGGTAAAAGCGATTAAAGAAAAATGTCGTGGTACTAAAAAAAACCAACAAAAAAGGGAAAGGGATAAAAAGGATGGAAAGGGAAAAAAAAGGAGCAAGCGTAATAAATGGAAGGGAACGGCGGGGGGCAACGTTTCCAAACCTTTCCGGCATTACCTAACCGGCAACGGAAAGTACGATTATTTTCCAAAGCATAATTACTAACCCTTAATAAAGCTACGCATACCCAAATAGCTAAATACGAAAATAACGTTACTTTAACGGTAACGGCCAAATATTAACTTAATAAAAGCGAATAAAAACGGTAATAAAAACGATTATTACTATTAAACCAATTAAAAAAGGTTAATAACGAAAAGGCAAAACGATAATAAAAAATTAATTATACCGGACCGGAAATTAACCGCACTTAAAAGCATAATGCAAAAGCCGAAAACGCTACGCGCCGGCTTTACGCAACCATACCAGCTGGTTAAACTTTTGCTTATACGAACGAACGCTAAAGCTATCCCAAAGCAATAGCGTTTTTACAAAATTACATTTTTTTAATTTTTTTTAATTTTTTTTATACGTTACTATTACCCTTTTTACTTTATAACCTTTTTTTAACCGGAAAGTACGAAAACGCCTTTTTTGCCGAAATACTTATTAGTAACCGAACGAATTATAGTAAACGGCGGGGACGGTTTAACACCGAGCCGGTACTAGCCAGCAAGCGTAATGTTTTCCTCCTTAAGCTATACCCAAAGGTTTTTTTTACGCAATACATAATAGTAGCATTAAAATTTACTTTATAAACAAAATAGCGTACAAATAAATAAATATTTTTATTTTATAACCCCTTTTAACCGGAACGTATAAAAACGCTTTTTTGGCGAAGTATTTATTAATAATCGAGCGGAATACAAGCAAACGGAGCCGACGGTTTAACACTAACCCGGCACCGGTTTACAAGCGCAAAGTTTTCCTTTTTAAGCAATAACTTAAAGGTTTCCCTTACGCAATACATAGTAGTAACACTAAGGTTTTTTTATAAATAAAATAGCGTACAAATAAATAAATTTTAACTTTGTAATGCAGTAGCTTTGCATTAAGCCGGTTCCGCTAAAACTACGGGTTCGAATCCCGATAAAATTACAAAAACTTTTTGTTTTTTAACCGCCCGCTTTGCTAAGCCGGAAAAAAGCCGCTACGCTTACGGGCTTTGCCCGAGTTAATTTTCACCCACGCTAAAAAACCAAAAACTAACAATTCCGATAATTAATCCAATTTTAACCCTTCCAACCCCGACCCTTCCTAACCCCTTCTTGCATTACCTTCGAAGCTTAAAATGCAAAAGGTTAAGCTAAAAAGGAAGTAACGGGAGGGGCTTAACCTTACCTTAACAAACGCACGCACAAACCAACCAATTTAATTACTATTTTTTTTAAAAAAATATTAGCTACAAACCTTAGCCCTTTATAACCCCCAGCCTTAACCTTAACCGTTACCGCTTTAAATAGCTTAAAATGCAGCAGGTTAAGCTAATAAAAAGGCAGCGAGGGGGGGGGGGGGGGGGAAGGGCCGGAAGCTAAAAAAGCTAAGTTAAATCCGTAGGAAAGCCTTCCAAGCGCCTTAAACAAGCTTAAGCATAACGCAAAAAAAACCTTTTTAATAATAATAAAAGGGATAATTACCAACCCGGGGCCCCTTCGGCAAAAAAGCTAGCCGGTAAATCGTATAGCAAACCAATTAACCAATTACATTTAAAGCGCAGGTTGCGGCCTTGCCGGCTTTTTGCAAAAAAAGGCTGTATACGGGAAAACGGTTAAATCCCGGATAAAGCTTTAACAAGCAGTCGAACGGAAGACAAAAATAAGCGCAGCTACCGGTTTAACACCGCTACGGAAGCGCAACGCTATAAAAGCGGAACGTAAGCGTAAGGTTTTCCCTTTTAAGCCTAACCCAAGGGTTTTTCCTTACGTATATACTAAGTAAAAGCATTAAGGTTTTTTTTTATATAAAACAGCGTACAATATATATATATATATATATATATATATATATATATAATAATAA